TCAGCTATCGGGTAGCGCTGGAAACTTTCCGCTCTTCCTACAACTAGACTGAAGATTTCGCCACGTACTCAAATTTCATCAAATTTTCGCACTATTCACGAGAGACGGTCGCTTATAACGTTCGCAAAAATTATTTCACCGTAAAAGAACGACGCGCAAGATATGCACAGATCAGTGGTATTCCGGGTCTCTAGACGATAGATGGCGCACTGAAAATGCAAATGTACGAGGCCGCCTTGGGGCCCATCGTAGAACCTCGGTTTTCTGCACGGAAGATAATCCTCTTTTCGCTCCCCTCTCCTAAACTGCGAGGGGAGCCACGTCGGGGCCGGATAAAAGGGGAGAGGATATAGGAACGGAGGAGGCGGGAAAAAGTGGAAATCGCTAAGAGTACGTCGGCCTTTAAAAGATACTGCTAGACACAGTAATCCACAAAACACACACAGACACAGACAACCTTCTCTCCCTCCCCTCCTTTTTTTTCGAGTCCCAAGAGTGCCGTCGGACGTGCTTCAATCCCCAGTAAACGAGCGGCTTGTCTCCCAGAGAGACCAGCGAGCACTCCAAGAAGCTAGAGGGCACTAATTTGTACCCGCGAAGTTACCGACGACTCGTGCTACGAAGCCGCGGGACGAGCGAAGAAGGGACATTGTGCCCGGCGGTAACTCCGCGGGGGAGGTGTTTTCCCGCCTCAACTACTACCGTTCCGCTCAACCTCAAGCCGACAGCGAGGTGGAAGCTACGCCTTCGTCGGAACCAATCAGCAGCCTCTCTTTCGTCACCTGACCCGGCTCTGCGCGGCGGTATGAGGTGAGGAGGTGGTCGATCACGTGAGGAAAAAGATGGACGCACGGCTGGTTCGAGGAGCGCGTGTCTTCGACCGCAGTGTCGGCTTTTGGGGATGAACGCAGCATTATGATATGAGGGACGGCTCTCTTCGCTAACGACCCTTTTACTGCCTCGCTCGCGTTCCTCGTTCCCTTGACTCCCGTATCCCTTCTGCGTGTGCGGAGCTTGCACGCCTGCTATTGCCGGCAAAGCAAAACATGCTTGCTGGTCGTAAAACCCGGAGTTGTAAGCCAGGATTCTGACTCGTATTTTTTTCTTCTCTTTTTTAGTGGCGCGAAAGGGTTGGACTGTATCACTTCAAAGAGTTCTTAAAGCGTCGGCTTCGTCCGCTTTTTGCTGAGGGATGTCGGAGTGCAGGGAAGAGAAGCGAAGAGCAGTTTGGGAACGAAATCCCGTGGAAAAGCTTGTAATAAAATAATCATTTTTTTTTTACGCCGTTAGTTGCTATTGGCGAGGTTTTGCGGCGGATGCAAGGGGGTGTTCCATGCAAGTCGTGGCACGGTGTCACAGTATGACGTGACATAGTGGAAAATTCCTCCACTAATTCTGTTGCCATGATTATCATTGCCATGATAAACATTTCCTACCACGGTATATATAAAAATATCACTTCGAAATCACATTTTATGTGCGCTCGGAGACAGCGATGTCGAAATCTTAAACTACACAGGGCACGTGTGGCGAACATAATGGAAGTAATTAGAGCCCAAAATGGTTCGCTCGGCGAAGAAAGTCGTTTAATTTTTGTCAATCTCTTCCAACCTCCAGACGAAATATTTTTCGTATCTTGTTTTTAGGGCGCGTTATGGTTTTTGAAAGGGGAATCTCTGCGGCCGCTCTCTAATGTGTCCGGGGATGAAGTCTCGTAGGGCGTATCATCATTTTTAATTGGATCCATATTACCAACATTCTCTCTAATATAAACTTATAACAACCGACGCTATTATGAATAAAAAATTTGTCTAGACGAACGTGTTTAAAAGTATATTGCGTAAATGAACCGTGCTGGCGGTTTTTTTTTTTTTTTATTTTTTGTTACGGTTTAAAAGGTTATACATGCAATTTTGTTAAATCTATTTTTCTATTTTATTTGTTTTTTTGTATGATCTTGCCCTTGTATGATGTGCTGTATGTTTAATATGGGCATTTGCAATCTCTCATTAGGGATGTTGAAATTCGTCTGCTAAAAGAAATATTTATTCTTGTCTATCAAAATAGATGATAATAGATCGCAATACGCATAACGATATAGCCATGAACATACTCAGGATATATATATATATATATATATCCGTGTTTCACACATATCCTGAATATGTTTGTCTCAAGTTCTTGGACTCATATGTGCTCACAAAATTTGTTTTAAATTACTTTTGCATGTTTTTTTTCTGTTTTTTTTTTTTACATTCCATTGGCGCTCTCCGGTATGATTCGTAGTGGTATGTATAACTCAGAGAGCGACTCCAACTTAAAGTAATCGAAGTAGGAATCATCATTACCTTTGAGTCTTTGCTATACCATTATCGCCCCTGTGGGGCAGGATTCGCGTGTTACTTGCACATTTATGTGGCATTAAAAATTAAAAAGAAAACGCGATAGCGTTATCGGGCTCGTTCGCATCGACTTCTCATTCGCATGTTCTTCCTGCCATTGAGCAGAAAGAACGGCGTACCTAACATAGTAAAAAAAAAAAAAAAAAAAGCATGGCTTAGTGTGTAGCGCTGACTCGCAACAGAAGGTTCGTGGGATCGAATCACACCTAAAACTTTTCCAATTTTTTTTTTTTGCAAATGAATTACTTTATAAAGTGAAACCTTTTCAAGCATGCGGTGACCTTTAACTTGAAACACATCTCACGTTTTTCATCACTTTCATTCCACGCGTGACGTCACGTCCCATCTCACGTGAGCGGTGTGGGCTGTTTGAAATTCCCGCGCGAAGTCATGAGGCTGCGACGTCATGACCCTATCGTCCAATCAGGATTTTCGCGTCACGCCACCGACGCCGGCTTTTATGCCACACCACCGAGGCCGGCTCCTTTCCGACACGATCGAGCTCGAAATGCAAGTCATTCTTGATGTTAGAAGTCAAAATAAAAAATTAAAGGGTTATCGTAATTTCAGATAGCTTTTCTATTTTTGTTTTGTTTTGTTTTTTTACCGAACCAATACAACATCGGGGAGTCCAGAGGTGTCCAAACTTTTCGGCTAAATTTAGGGGCCGAATCGGAGATCTGTCGCAGTCTCCGGGGCTGGAAAACAAATAAACCAATATAAAATGAGGAAAAACGAAATAAATGATCATGAATACATATTTAAATAGAACATTTAAAGCTTTACATCGACTTTATATTTTAATCCCAATATTTAGCTAATTAAGATATTAGACAATAATTGGGACTGAGAAAACTCACCAGGCATAAATCAAAGCGCATAAGAAATTTCGCATGTTCCAACGGGGCAGAAGTCTTGTGAGAATGATAGAACTGAGGCTGACAACATGAGATAGATACGACGCGGGACACTAGGTGCAATACACACGGGAACGCGAAAATAATTTCAACATACGCAGTTCCGCAGGTATAAAACAGGGGACTAAGAATGTTGACACCAGTGATGACAATGCCCAGTTAATAATATGACTAAAAGACAATGACGATAAACAGTTTTCTCTCGTTTTTTTTTTTCTTTTGTAGTAATTTTGTTTACGCGGTTTGTGAGCGTTGCATCGCTGTTTCTTCGTGGGTACTTATCTCGGTGCCGGTGGCAGCGGCTCTGCTGGGAGCGGGCAGTGGGCCGGGCTTCATTGGAAGGACCGCAATCAGCCACGGGCCGGGCGAGAGAGAGAGTGTGCGGGTCGCATTTTTGACCCGTGGGCCTAGGTGTGGAGACCCCTGTTGCAGAGGAACGAGAGTGTTGTACTAGGCGAGTTGGTAAATAGTGTAAACAAAAAACAAGTGCAAAAAAAATTACAACGAAAGGAACACTTGCGACAGGACAACAGTTGTAGTCGAAACTGAACTTTATTAGTAAACACATTAATTAAAGTGTTCGGCGTTTCTTGCTGGTTTTGCTGTGCCATGAGTGGATAATATAAATTTCTTATGAAAGGAGCATTTTAGACATATTTTATAAAGACGCATTGGCGTCATAATAGACCCTTTCCAAAACCCGATCGAGCAACCTTGGCTGTCGCCATTTTTATTTTTTTTTGGGGGGGGGGGGGGGGGGGGCACAGAACGTGGGATTGTATTCGAGTGCTCACCGACCGATGACGCAGCATTCGTGTCCCAAATCTAATATGTGCTCAGTGTGCGTTCCAAACAATGGCACATTGGAATAATTGGTGCAAAAGTAAAATTTTGAGGTTTCTACGTGCCAAACCAATGACGGGCATCTGGCACGCGCCGGTGGAGGACTGAGGATTCATTTCGACCAGCTGGGGATCTTCTGTCGTGCAACCGTAAGCTCGGTTACACGGCGTCTTCTCCGCAATGGGCCTCTTTCAGATGGCGGGAACCTCGGCTGGGATTCGAACCCGCCACCTAGGGATCCGTAAGCCGGTGTTTTGGCTGGGAGCCACCGCGAGGCGTCTATATTGGCGCAGAAGCTACTAAACCGCGCGAACCTCTGCAAAGGGTCTATTAAGTATAGTTTCCAGCTGTTTCACGATCTCCGATCACCCATTAGCTGTAGGCTTCAATCTGCCTCCCCCATCATAACGCTAAAGAATAAAAGCGAAAAAAAAAAGAGACACGTGTTTACAATTAAGCGGAAAACAAATTCTCCCCTTTCGTTCGGAATTTCGGTCGCATAACTTATAGACTCTGTTTCGACCATTTTTTTTTCTATCCAAAGCGATTTCTTCTTTTTTGTGTGTGTACTTTTGATTTGGATCAAGTCTGGATAAAGTCTGAATCTGGTCTGGATCTGCTGTGGGCCTTGCACTGACCTGGCTTGTGCATTAGGTCCAGATCTATAGTCTGGATCTTATTTCTGTCTGGTTAGGGGACGAAGGAGAAGTCAGGAATGAAATGAGGGGGAATGACAAAAATGGGAGAAAGGGGAAAAGGGGGCATTGTGTGGCGTGAATACTTGACAAAAAGAAACGGTGTCCTTTTTTTAATATTGTTAGTTTTATTCCCTACTCAGGCCCTGCTCAAGCTAGCGACAACTTATCTCCAGAGGAAACCGCCTCCGGGCATCGAACTCAAGAGCGAAGACAACCAAGATAACAAGTGAGGCACATTTGATTGCCTTCTACCCTGATTTCGTTCTTCGCCACGGCGTCGGGACGTGCCAGATGTATAGAGGAGGAAACTACGCCGGAAAGAGTCAGCCATTTTGTGCATATATATATATATTTTGACGATTTGAGAATGGCGCGTTATCGACAGAAGTCGGTTCTCTGACGGCTCAATATTGGCGTTTTTTTTCTCTTCTTTCTTTTTCCTCTTAGAGCTTCTCAATTTTAAAGGGAACTTCACATCCGGCGCGAACAGGAGATTGAATTCATAGCGTTTTTGTTGAAAGTGAGAATTATGTTGTCTTCTCTATTCTTGTCCCCCTTTCCTTTTCTTTTTTCTTTGGGGGGGGGGGGGGGGGGAGAGAGAGAGAGAGAGAGAGAGAGAGAGAGAGAGAGAGAATGAATTTGCTTGCTGCGCCAGGCGAGGCAGTTTTCTAATTTAGTAACATCCTGATTCAGAGACTGGCACGGAAAGGAAGACACACGAGAAATGTACCCTTCTTAAATTTGTTATATTTTCGTTATGCAGCTCTAGGAGTGGAAATGTTCAATCTTCACACGGTCTTAAAAACAAAATTTCTTTTCGTCCCAATTTGCGTTCCGCCTTAAAAGGCTGTTAGGCAAATTTAAGAAAATGTTTTAGTTTCTTTGCGCGCAGGTGCCATGATTGCCTCGTTGGTACGACAGCTAAAGTATTGTTCTCTATCTTAGTGACTGACATTCCTACACTTTTTCTCATTCCGCCGTGTACGGCGATTGACAAGAAAAGTTCAAAGAAAACATTCATAAGAAGATGTGTCAGTTTGATTTAGCTCCTCTATGCACGACCCCTTATCTCTCCGTTGATGCGGCCTGATGCATCGCTCCTTTCCCCTGTCAAAGATAAAGAACCGACACGGTCCTTAAACCACCTGGCCTGGAATGGTTTCTTCACGCCCTGGGAAAGTTTTTTCTAGATACAAATTGAAGTACCAGAGGCGCCCTTGCCGACGTTAGGAGTCAACCAATCAGATCGCCCGGAGAACCTAATTGATGGTCTTGGGTTTGCAGCAACCATCGTGGAGAAAATCCCTGGATGTGTCTATTCTTTCATAAAGTCACACGGACCCGTCGAAACGATGGACGATTAAAAATGCCGTCTTTACTTGAAACCCATGGACCATATTGTTGTGTTATAATTGAAGCACTTCGTGAAGGGTGATATCTCTGCAGCGGCGCCGCTTGTGGTGACAAAATTTACTATGGTGGAAATAGTCAAAGTTTTCATACAAGTAAGTAATCTAGCTATAGGGACCGTGGCACCGACCGCGCAAGGTGCGCAGTCCCCAATCACTAGCGTGCTGCGCACCTTGCGATGGCTGCTATAATTAAACTATAATCTGCTTCCTGTTCCCTCGGTGGTGTGTCCGGTGGCATACCGTACTGTTGATTCAGGTATAGCTATGAAGGAAGAGCAGTAAGACAAAGAAGCTTCTTAAAGTTAGACATGCAAAAACTAGAGGCGGTGGATAAAAAGGCGACAAATTGGGCAAGTTTTATTTAGAGGTGTTTGTTTATTTAGTTATTGATTGATTGATGAATTAAAATACCTTAAAGGTATTTTCGGTAAGGGAATTACATTATGGAAAGAGCGTTTGTAACTACAGAGAGGAAAAGGGACATTTAAAGTCAAGCGGAGATCAAAATAAAGGGAAACTTTGAAACCCCTAACACGAAATGAACAATTGCAGCAACAGACAGCTTCGCTAACACAAATGGCTCTTCGTGTTGTATTATAACGGTTATTGGAAGCGCATGTTCATGTAATATTATATTCCAATTGCAACCTATAGGGATAGCGATTGCTGCTTTGATCGGTCGACGGTTAATTGATATTACTTGTGCACGACTGTATCTGGTTCATTTTCCAATAAAAAAAAGACCAACGCTAACTTTTCACTTACATTCCTAGAAGGCTTTGCAATGCGCAATATTTATAGAGGCGCGGTGGTACAAGACATAATAAACACTGACTGTCCCAAAGATCGCTTCTGCCAAAAATCAGACTTCTTGGTCATTGTGATTCGCTGCAATGCCAGTGTAATACGCTTATCAGTATACTGCACTGAATAAATTCAACTGCCTTTTAAATATGCCGACATTCTAACGACTAAGCGGAAGAGCCAAAAAGAGAGCCAAGCCGGCAACCAAAGAATATTTGCGTCACCTTGCAGCATCATCTCGCTATGAGCTAACACAAATAGCTGCGAAAGCATTTTGTGACATCGAAGACGATTGGATCTGGCTTGTATATGCCACGAATTGGGCTCTATCAGGAGCTGATAAGGGTGGACTGGATCTGGCTGAGTTTTTCTGTATCTGACTGGATCTTGCTGGATCTGTCTGGATGTTGCTTGATCGTGTTGTATCTGCCTTTACCTGGTTGGACATGGTGAATCTGGCTGGATCTTGTTGGATCTGGCTGGATCTTGCTGGATGTGGCTCGATCTTGCTGTACCCTGGTTGGATCTGATTGGACCTTGCTGAATTTGGCTGGATCTTGCTGGGCATGGCTGGATTTGCCATGGTCTGTCACCGATTTGACCGTGTTTGGCTCATCAGTCAATCTTTTTTCGTTTGAGAGGGAGGCTCTCGATTATCGTACAGAACAGCACCAGCCATGTACACTCCCCTACCCGAGTCGAGAGAAGGGAGCAAAGACAGTCTTAAGTGATGAGTGCCAGTGGTCGTTCTCCCATTTCTCTGCAGGACCGTATTCGGAGTGTGGAGGATGCTGCTAGACGAGACGGAGAAGATCGCCAAGGCACGGCTGGCCGCCGCCGAGGTCTTCTCGCAGCAGATCTCGGAGAACGCTAAGAACGTGCGTGCCAACAAACTACAAGTGGCCAAGAAGGTGCGGACCTCATACGTTTCTGTGAAACAGGGATTCTCGAACTTTTCGGTCTCAGGGGACCTCTATCTGCCTTCACCGATAGCCGAGAAATTATTCCCCGTCTCAACAAGCGACAGTGGTACTATAGAGCAGAGCAGGAGTCTACAGACCATGTACACAGTAATGCACGCACTAGCAAATGTTAGGCTCGTAGTTACGCATGCGTCGGAAGCTCAGATCTGTCAAAGAGAGTGCTTAAACTTGGGAAACATCTTACTTAGGGGGAGGAACAATAGAGCGAATTCGGAAGCTCAGGAAACCCTTGAGGGCACTCTGGAGTACCCGTGGTGTCGAAGGAACCCAGCTTAAAACCCCACGGTCTTTAGTAAAAAAAAATAGGATTCAGAAGCTTTGTATTATACCCTTTTGCATATCTAGGTTATTTTTTAAGCGATTAGTTTTCTGTGAATCTTCAGTAAACTTTGAAATATGCATCTGAATTTTTATTTTCCGCGCTAAGTTGAGCAGGAAAAATGACGTCACGTGACCTATACAAATTTTTAATTTCCCCGCTACATTTAGCGGCGAAAATCAGCATCGCGTGACCTCAAGACCATGACTTCATCTCACATGACCTATTCACAGATTCAGTTTTCCCGTCAGATTTAACGTGAAAATTGACGTCACGTCACCTCAAGGCTAATTCAGTTTCCCCGCTAAATGTAGTGGAAAAATTGGCGTCACATAATTCCAACACAAATTTAGTTTTCCCGCTAAATTTAGCGGGGAAATCGACTCGTGATTGGTTGCAGCTCTTTCGATCGTGTCTGCAGTTGATCGCTGAACTAAACTAGTCAACAACATAGCTGGTTCTTTCCGAATTTGTTTTTAAGGCCTACCTTGCACCAAGAGAGTGTGACCGTTGGCCACTGCTTCGGACCTAAAGCTCCTTTTCGCGATGGCAAAAAATGGCGCCGTCGACTTTCTTTTTTAAGGCGATTCCAATTGTTAATGACAAAGAAATACTTTTTATTATTTTTTTTCGAGCGTCTCAGTCATCATTGCTCGACTGCATTGGAATCTTCAGATAACTTTCGAACTCTCTTGGAATATATGTAGGAAGCTTTGGTGCTTGCTTCCCAAATTTCTAGTTAACTTGCTAACCCTATCGCAGCAGTGATGCCCAAAGCGAATCACGTAGTTTGAGGATGCGCCACCCAATTATAATTCGTTCTGTTTTATTTAAAAGAAATATTTATTAAACACGTTAGAAATATACAATCTCTGTTGGGCAAACTGTCACGTTTCTGCACAATGGTTACCAACAAAAGAGGCCTCGGTGCTCCTTTTACGCCCGCAGTGCTTTGAGAGTCTTCGACGCATCCAAGAGGAAGTACAACAATGCGTCCAAGAGGTGGACAAGACCAAGAAACTGTACTTCGAGGAGGAGCACATGGCGCACGAGGCCAGGGAAAAGGCCCAGGATGCAGAGGAGAAGTGAGTCAGCACATTTCAGTCTGATCCAGCGAAGCACGCAGACAAGATGCGTTCTCAATCTATTCTACCGGTTCCGTTAAAGAAATATAAAACCGCTTTTTCGGATCGCATAAATATACTACGCCTTAGAGAAAACTGAAACTTCGTCAGAACACGACGCGGTGGGGAGTTTAGAGAACATCACGTCACTAGGATTAAAATATAAAAGAAAAAGGTGATATTTTTCTATTAGCCGCGGCCATCTGAGTCGAATATGGGCTAAACCAAGACAGAGCATTGCGGGTGACTGTGGCATCTATTGTCGCGTGTTTAATCAATTACTAGTTAAAAAAAAAAAAAAGAAGGGGGGAGGGGGGGAGTACGTATCTTTTTTAACATTGCAGTGCGTCTCTAGAAAGCGTCTTAATAACTTCCAAACAATATTTTTATGCTGTACGATTGTTCTGCTTTGAGGACTGTTATGTGCTTCTGACAATTTTGAAATTCTATTTTGAGTACGATCTTTTTTTAAAACTAAAGTTAGTACATAATATTTTTGCGGCTTCTAACCTGACTAATATGATTTTTTCCTGCTTTGACTGCTTTGAGCGGTCGGTTCAACAGCATGATCAGTACTATTTATGTTTGCCTTTAATTTTCTTATATTACGGTTCTTTTTTCTTCTTTTTTGGTTGGGGGGGGGGGGGGGGGGGCGGTGGCCGAATATGTTAACTCATCGCAGCTCGGAGCGCGTGGAACGAAAGCTTCCACTGCACAACCCAGGGATTCTGGGTTCCGACTCTACCCCGGCCGGTTTCGATCTGGATGAGCATCGTAAACCGGCGTGCGGTCGTGTATCACTACTGCATAGTGCACGTTATCGAACCCTAGGCTAGGAGTTGTACTGCACTGGCTAAATTACTCATCTACAGCTAGACATAGCGCGTTACTACTAAAGACTGATATCCACCTAGTTACTTTTTTCGGTAACGAGTAACGTACTTATACTGGTCTTCACCTCGAGAAACGGAGTGAAAAAAGTCCGGCTCCTCGCGGAGCATTACTAATTTCCTCTTTTATGTTGATAATTAAGACGTTTGTACGTTCATTTGAAGTTAGGCAGATGTTATCTTATCAACACGTACACACTTCCAACGCCATAAGCCTCGCTTCTTACTCCAAGAACCAAGTCTTGTAAGAACTACTTCGCACGGCGTATGCACATTGCGTAAAACGTTTTTCTTGAGGTGAAAACGAGTATAGTTACTTTTAGGGCCAAGTAAACAGTAATAGTATTTCGTTACTTTTGTGGAGTAATGCGTACAAGAACGTTTAAACAGCCTCGTTTTAATTCTAACCCGAGTATGCGTCTATTGCGACACAGGCAGATGCGCAACCCGAAAAACAACTAAACAGTAGGACAGTAATAGCAACGTTTATCGCTGAACACGCCAGTCAAACTCTACAGCGGGGAATGTCCATCAACTTGCGAACAAAATAAGGTTCGTTGGTTGAACCTTCTGGAATCGTGCACAGACCGAATGAAAACCCGGAGGTTGCCAACACGGAAAGGCGCCGAACCCATTGTCAACTTCGAACTTTAGAAGCAGAGAGAAGAAAGGGGAGAGGGGAATCTTAGATTCACCAGCTCTTCCTGAAGCACAACAGTGCCGTTTCTTCGAGCGCGTCAGTAGAACAACTCTTCAGCATCGCCGGAGATGTATTCTCAATGAAGCGGGGAAACAACTCATGAAAACTTCGAGAGGCAGCTACTGCTTATGTGCAACGACTACTGAAAAGAGAACAATAATCCGTGAAGCAAAAGCAGTTGTGTATTTGGTTGTCAAAGCAACGAGAAAAGTAACTCCCTACTTTTGAGGCAAAGCAACGCGTTCCTTTCGCGAATAGGTAACGAGTAACTCATTTAGTTACTCTTTGACAGAGTAAGGATTTACGGTATTTAGCTACTTCTTGGGGGAGGGGGGGGGGGGGGGTAACGTGTACAGGTTTGTCAACAGCTGAGACACCGGACGCCCACTGATGTTGACTACCTTCCGGTTGGTAAACACACACGCAACACGATTATTGAAAATGTTTTTGTTTTCATCTGTTTATTAAGCAGGCGTTTTTTTTTGGTATTTTGTTCACGTGTAATTTAGTTTTAGAGTAAGAGAACACCGTCTGCATTTACATGCGTACAACTAGCCCATTCAATCGAGAGGAGATGGCTATGAGGACAGGAAGAAGGGCAAGTACTAGGGTGCTGTTGGTTCCCTTTTGATTTGATACGCTACGATCGCATCCACATTAAGTCAGCCAGAGATCTTACTAAACTACTGAAACTAATCACGATTTCGTTTTCTTTTTTTCCCCTCGGACAGATTAAAAAAGAAGAAAGGAAGAATATTTCAGTCCATTACATCGCTACAAAAGAATAGTCAAAAGGTAAGTACTTTTCTCATAGTTTCTTATTCTGCAAATATTAATTAAAAATATTACACAAAAAAATAGTTCATCTCTTCAAAGGAATCTTGTCGTGTGTGTCTGCTCACTACAGTGTTATTCTTAGTTACACTTTAACTGTAACCCAACAATAGAGTTAGAGTTAATTGTACCGATAGCTTCAATTCACCTTCATGCATGTGATTTGCCCTTTGGCGTTCTTGACGGCTAATGGTGCAGTCTGATTCATCGCTGAGAAATCACTCTCAGTGATTATATGGAGTGCAAGTTTGTCTCTGCTTACGTTGAATCAAGGCCTTTGGTTGTCCGTCAGTCTTGTAGTTACTTAGAAATCTGTTTCCGCTCCCTGCATGGAGTCTACGAACTTCCTGCGCCGCTTTTCACGATTGCTAGTTTATTGTTGAAGGCTGCCGGGTATTAACTCCCTGCTCCCCTTCCGGTCCGACGCGCTTGTATCGTTATGGTTCGCTGCCTTCGATAGCGACGCGCAAAACGAGGTTCAGGTTGGCTTAGGCGTCACTAAGCTTCGCTCGGGAACGCGCGCTACTCCCGCTAAGAAAACGTCGAAGCGTGTTAAGCCGACGTCAAGCTCGTTTCGCACGCGGGAAACGATGCAACGAAGTTAAAAAAAGAAAAAAAAGAGCGAGTATGGACGTTCGTTGTAGTCGTGTTTCAGGTAGTGTGCCTAAAGATTCGAGAGTACTTGACTCCTCGATCGGGGATATCACGTCGTTTAGGGTCGCGTTTGTAAAGGTGTGAAAAAGGAGACGAACGCGTCGATCGTCTGCAAGCATTCTGAGCTTGGCTCAGCCCATAGCCTCCTCTATACTAACAAACCCTGACAGATCGCCACGAGAAGCGGCCGCAGAAATGGAAAAGGTGGAGCGGCAGACAACGAATGAGAGGAGAGCCACGTGACTGGCACCCCGCTGCGGCGAGACGCCGCAGCGGGGCGCGGTGTTTCGGCGCAGCGGGACGCCGCTATCAAAATTTGCAAACATTCTCTATGGTTTGAGTTGGTCCCTGTCTTAAATCTAGGCGCTGCCTCTCATCATCGCACCTCACGCAAAGAGAGTGCGGAATTTGGTGATAATAATGCCAAAGAAATAATCACGAAGCCCTAAGCGTGGCCTTCATAAGCCACGCCCTTTGTTTCTTAATTGGGCTGCCAGTGACTTCAGTATGAAAAGCCTGCATACTCGTTCTGACCTCAAAAACCGTGTGTAAAAACAGAAAAAAAAAAAGTCCGTTTTTTTTTTTTGTGGAACGTTATTGATTTTCCCTTTCCTGCGGTGAATTAAGATAAATGTAGGTGCATCTTAGATTAGCTTTACGTTATTTTATCAAGAGGTGCACGTTTCAAACGACAAAAGCGTCCTTTCTTTCTCTAACAAGCAGATGCTGTAAGAACTACTTGGCGTAGCGCATGAATAATGCGCAAAACTTTCTTTTTCTCTCGATGTGAGATCAAGTATATGCGGAACACAAGTTCGTCTGCTTCTGTTGCGGCGGTTGTGATGACGTCAAAACGCCGAGCTGTGAAAGGCGCAGACGAATTTGCGCTCCGCGTGCGAGTGTACGTTTCTCGAACTAAGGGACTCTGTGTTTCTCTGCCCAGTTCTCCTCGCGGAGGGAGGCGTGTGATATCCAGTCCACCAAAGCGCGTAACGACTACATCATGGCCCTCGTGGCCGCGAACGCCCACCAGACGAGGTTCTACGAGATGGACCTTCCAGATATCCTTCAGGTAACGTGCATCTTGTAACTAAGAAAAAAAAAAAAAAAAGAAAATAACAACGTCACAAACGGCGAAGTACAAGTTTTTTTGTGTTGCGTCTGGAACGTGGCACTACAGACCGTTGTCTGCTCTGTTCCATGGAGGCCGCCATCTTTGTTTATGCTGACGCTATGACACAGTAGGAGGGCTGCGCATTTTGCAAGACTCGGTTTGTTTAGAAACCTTCGTCAAATCGTAGTGCAAGGACGCCTGAAATCTATAGTCACTAAACTAAAAAAAAAAACACCGATACTAAGGGTGCTGTAAAAAGCAAAAATCTTGTTTCATGCTCAGCTTTTCTCTTCACAAGAGCCTGCATTTGGGATTATTATTTTCCATTTTTATCGCTGGGGGCTAGGATTTCGGACACTGATAAGTTCAGACGCAGCCGACGCTACGAGCTGATTTAGACCAATCAGACAACATCGATAGCGCGTCATCGTGGTGATCATCGTATTTCTGCACGTGTTATTTCATCGTGGAACCAAAGCTAAACAGAAAAGGTCCAGTGACTGGCGATTTTGACGCTGCTTGATTATTAGCCCATGCGTCATGACTTCAAAGTAGGCGCCGGGAATAGATGAAAGCATAGAGGCAAACCGCAGCGTAACAACTTAAAATAAAAAAAAAATAAAAAAATTGACCTGCATTTTGTCACAAGAATAAAAGAAAAGCAACAAAAAGGAAGAGGACAGGGCAAACCAAATTTCCTCTTTTTCTCTTGTAACTTTTCCAGCCATCTCTTATTCACGGAATCATTGTGTGAGCCACGTTTCATTGCCGTTTTCTAAACAAAGATCGCGCTCAAGCTACTTTTGAAGAAGAAGAAGAGAACAAAATTGGGGTTCCAATCCACGCTGTGAAGGTGCTTGGTCAGCGAAGCTGTGGTATCAGCTGCAACGATCGCCGAAATGTCACCGCCGGTCGCAGCTCGCCGCCGCTGATCGTATTGCCGCCACCTTTTCCCTTTGCCGCTTCTAGTATTCACGCTGCTCCTCGGGAGTCCAAACTATGCGTGGCCTATTCATCGCGGTGCTGCAGCAACAATGAAATCAGTTACTATACTCCGTTTCATCTTACGTTTAAGCGCAGCAGATGTGACGAGCCATCGGAGTTAATAGGAGGCCGTGTGAGTCACGTGACCAGGGTGTAAGATAGACAGGTGGGGAAACGACAGCCAAATGAGCGACCGAATTGTGTCCCCCTCGGTTTTCTCTTTTTCTGTGGCGCCATCTATGTGGAGCACCGCGAACTCTCACTTTTGGTGGGCGAACGGTGGCGACCGGCTAAACTGACGGAGATAATTTCTCGTGGAATTTCAATAGAGAACTGTCGTGCTCTCGGTTTATTTTGTGCACTCTCCCATAGAGTTCCACGCTAATCCGATTCCGATTTTTTTCCTCTCACCGCAGCGCCATCTGTCGCAAGTCGAGGGTATTCGCAAGCAGACGAGTACACAATCCGGTCACGGCGCTGCGGTAGGCTTCTATGGGCCGTTTCCCCACCTGTCTATCTTACACCCTGCACGTGACCTTAAAGAGGGGGCACAGCGACGCGCGGAAAGCGTATCACGCGGGCCACGTCCACAAAACGGGATTGGCTAAGATAGCTCGTAGCATGCACTGCGTCCGGACGTGAGGAGGATTTGGTGGGTTCTTCTTTTATATACAAAAGGCTAGTGACGTCACTGCGTGCTTCGCATTGCTAGCAGGCGCCGTTATCAACATTATGCGGTTTGCACTTCACATCAGGGCTTCGAATGACGTCAACCCCTTTCGAAGCAGCTGCAAACCTAATCTTAACCGAAAAGCGTGGGAGGGCGTTCCTATTGTTCACACGCGCCTTATCATCCATCATGTGCTTTTGACGCTTGTTTTGTGGTTTTCTTTATTGAAACAAATACTGAGCTGTATGCTGTATGCCTGATTTCAAAGGAGATATGCTGTTTTGCCTTCAGTTGTTCGCCGGGAGGTTTTGGCTTACAACACCAGCGACACGAAAATTTCCTTGGCTGGGTAGAGGTATACAGTTTCGCTATAAAAAATAAAGTCTTCCTGTTGTCTAATCGAATAGTCTGAACTTGTATCATATATAGCACGCAATGGTGCGTATGAGAGACTAATCTCAAGAATATTCGCGTTTGTTTTTTCAGTCCCTAGATTGCGACGTGTCGGAGAAAGTGAAAGAGTACATTCAGCTGATGAGCAGGACAGAGCTGCTAACCGTGACCGCCTGCAACACATCCTTCACGAGGATTCTCGAAGACGCCGGTCATGTGAGTATACCCCCCTCTACACGATTCCGGTGCTTATTATGCTCGGGCATAAAATGCCGAGTCACCTTGGGTGCGAGACGCGCGTGCGCGGCGTCTGCTATTTCGCGGAAGAGAGTTACTGCGCACGTCTGCAGGACGCAGATCTGGAGCCTTCGAGGAATGTACGAGAGATGGCGCTAGTCACAAGCGGTCGTGGGCGCAGTCAATCACAGTCAAACGCAAACGTGTGAAGCAAGCTTTTACGGGTCGATTGTGAACGCTGGTCGCGGTTGCTACCCGGAACTTCGAAAAGAGTCGTCCACGGGGATACGGTGGCGTGAGGAAGTCCGTCTGCTCGGCGGTGTCATCGACCCGAAACGTTGCCGTAACCGGGAGATGCCGGACGCGGGGTGATGGCCTCGACACAGCGACGGCTTCGGCCCACGCCCAAATTTCGACCTCTCATCAGCGTTGCCGCTCTCTCGCGTCTGCGATCAATGGAGAGTGCGGTGTCCTTGCATACCGGAAGGCTTTATGAAACCCGATACGGGCACGATCAGTTCGTGATCCGGGGTTCAACTTTGCGTAGGACTATCGGGCCAGGGTGCGATGGCTTGGCATCCAGCGGTGGAAAGGGGTGTAGTTTTTTGTGTAACGAGTATTGCATTATAGATGTCGAGTTTTCTGGGTGCACCGCGGGGAAGTAATCGACGCAATTCCAACACGCGAACCGCTAATGTTTCTATTTGCATTAGCAGTGTTGGTCATTCGACGTATAATAAAACCCGAGAGATTCGTTATTAGTGACCCTGGTAGGCCGAGCGTTCTTGGAGTCCATTTGCAACCGAGCTGCCTAAGGGACATGCAGATCGAACAGGACTGCTTCGAAGTGGCTTGGCTAAAGTCCAACGTCCTTGTTAATTCGTTAGACCTTCCGTTTTGTTTGCACCGCGTAATTGGGACCGATCTATGTGTCGTTAACGAGCGATGGGTAGCGCTGGCGGGGCATGCATTTGTTGTTGTTTTTTTTTGTTTGTTTTATTTCCGATGTCTCCCAGCCCAAGCTATTAGTGGCAATGCTTGCCATCCATGGCAATATTTTCTAAAATGCGAAGCTTTACTCCGCGGCAACTTTTCTTGGCGTTGCAGTGGAAGGTACAGGCACGACGTTCCCTCTCCCATTTTGAGAGCTGAATAAAGCTGTACGCGGGCTCTTCTTTCCCCGGAAATGCCAAGAAAAGTTGTCGCGGGGTATATTAAGTTGGGATAAGACATGAATGTTTGAGAATTTAACGTTGTTTGGTGCAAAAGGTAATGCCCTTTTAGAAACTTTTAATAAAAAAACGCGCCCGTGTTTTTATATAGTTTTTTTTTATCGACGCACGTTATTACCATATATTAAAAAAAAAAAAGACCCGGGAATTTTGCGGGGGTACCATATTCCTATTGCAAATTCCCGAAATCGATCGCGTTACTGTCGTCGTTCTCTTATCTATCCCCGTACCGGTGAATTAATCCACTCACTCGTTTAGCATATGTTAATCCATTCATTCGTTCCGCGTTTCCATTTCAACTGTCTTTCAGATAACGCGCCAGTACACGGTGGAATGCTTTCTTCAGGAGAACCAAGTTCTGGGGAAGCCCGTCATGTACGAATTCGACCCGTGCGACAACGACCAAGTAAGTTCGTCGCCGATGTTTCGTTGCTATGCCTAACGCCCCGGTCACACTGCAAACGCATCACACAAGAAAGTAGAGAGCTTTAGGGAACCGTTTTTAGCTCATTCGATACGGTACGATCAGTCCTCCGGTACGCACTGCGCAGGTACGAGTCTTCTACAGTATAGCGCATGCGCAGTGCGTACCGGAGGGCCCATCGTACACCGTATCGGACGTGCAAAAACGGTTCCCTGAAAGGCCTTTACTGCCTGGGGAGTCTTCCTTCCTCGTACGAGTATCCTGTCATATTGGTAATACGAAAACTGTCTGCAGGTATTTTCGAAGCATGGAAATGGATGAAGCCAACAGACTTCGAACATGCTTGTGCCGTGTACTACGCAGATGATGCTTTCAGCATGTATGCAGCTAACACCGTGTACCTGTTTTATGACGTACATGAGCAGTGAGACTTCGGCCTTGAAGTGTCAGAAACTGGCATATATATATATGCCATTCCACCAAAAGGTTTGCTGGCAGCTGTTTATTATTATTATTATTATTTTTTAAAATTTCGGTGTTGTTTTTTACGTTCCTCCTTCACTTGCTAATGTCGTAAATCTTACGCTGGATGATTAACTTCGCACGCGCTGGACTTGTTGTCTCTCTCACATTGATGCAGGCTGTACTTTTTAGACCTGAACATTTTTTTTTTATCCTCGTCGTTCAGCTCTCGTCATACTTTGCTGTGATTGGCCATTCCAAGTGTTTTGCGGGAACTGCAGACGATCCAAGGTTCTTTCTGTGTGTGTTTTTGTTTGTTTTTAAGAGAGCTATGGCGCGTGTTTAGAACCCGTCCCACAGCCCAGCACGCGAAACGCTATTGTTTGAGTGGTCTATAGAGCAAGCCTGCTTCAGACCTCAACCGGGATTCGAACACACCGCCTGGGGATAAGCCGGCCCTTTTGCTTCGGACTATAATACACCGTCTCACAGTAACTTGGCCAACGATGAAAGCTATGGTCCCGGCGAGCCAATCGGCGAGTCGGAGGGCGACACGTGACTACCGTAATATCTCGAGAGATTGCCCAATTTAAATCCATGGCAAATCGGATAAAAATAAGTGGTGGGCTATCTTTCGGTGTTAAAAAAAAAAGTAGCAAATCGTGCAAAAAAAAAAAAGGGGGGTGGGCTATCTTTCGGGGGCGAGGCATCTCTCGGGATATTACGGTATACTCTACCGTTCTAGTTGCGCGCAGCGCTGCCGAAGCCACGGGTGGGAGAGAGAGAGAGAGAGAGAGAGAAGGCGCTTTTGTACGAATTTGAGTGACGGGCTAATCTCCGAGGTGGTCAAACGGGACGTCTGGGACGCGCGAAAGATGGTCCGGAAACAGGGAAGAGATTTCCTCCTGTCCCTCTTCATCAACTGCGTGGGTAACACTCTCGCCTTGTACCTTTGGTAAGGGCTGTCACGTTCGTCCCCTCCGTCGCTCCGATTGGCTCGAAGGCGCCGTACCGTTCGCCCTTTAGACAAGTTACGGTGCAACAAAGTATAACCGAGGCAGCGGCCTTTGTTCGGTTTCTTTATGGGGTAATGCCAAAGCGCATGCCGTTTACGTTCTCTCCGCCTAAGCGCACGCCTTTTTCGTGTCCCTTTGTTGTTGAGCGATTGGGTCGATACGGCTCGGCGACTCTTCCAACTCTCTCGATCGCCGAGTTGCCGTGCCGTGTTCTCACTATGGCAACCGTCCGACGACGACGCTCCGCAAAAGTGAACTGCGAGCAGGACGATAACAGGCGTGTTTTGAAGGGCGGAAACGAGGCGGATCATTCGTGCTGCCGCAAAAATTCCTCTGTAAAGGACGGTTGCGCGAGCTACTCAAGTGGCGTCGCATGCGGCTTTGCAGGTTTAGTTGTTTGTGTCGTTTTTCATTCGTATGCTTTCTGTTCGATCCTGTTTATTTTTGTTTGTATGTGTTTTTTTCATGTTTACCGCTGGGGGGGGGGGGGGGGGGGGGGGGGCGCGACAGAGAAAAGGGTTTGGTGCCTGACAACGCCACTGGCCCTTAAAAGCTGAACTCCATGGAGCGAATCGGAACGAATTATGCGACGAATAACTGACGAAATTCGCCCGACGGCACGCTTGCTTTGCGCGCGCGACGTAGCAGCCGCTTCGGAAGAAGAAAGAGCCTCCGGGCGACTGGAGGCTCAGCAGCTCAAGATAGTTACATAATAAGAGCAGTTTTACAAAGCATTACGCAATTAAAGGAAAGCAAGCCAGATCAGCGAGGGAAAGTTAACAACAGTACATTCACTTGGATAAAAATACTATTAATAAACGTCAGTTGATGTTAATCATGTTAAACTAAAAAAAAAAAAAGAGAATAGGCAGCGATTTTTGTTCTTAAAGTTCGATACTGCTTAAATTGTATTATAAAGAATCGGTATGTCACATGACGTATATTTTCTCGCTAAATTTAGCGGGGAAACGGAATGGTTGTTGAGATCACGTGGCGTCAATTTCCCCCGCCAAATTTAGCGAGAAAACTGGATCGGTGTCTAGGTCACAAGACGATAATTTTCCCGCTACGTTTAGCGGGAAACTAAATTAGTGTTTATCTCGCATGACGTCAATTTTCCGCTATATTTGGTAGGGAAACTGAACTGATGTTTCGGCCACAAGACAAAAATCTTCCCGCTAAATTTAGTGGGGAAACTGATTTGACGTATGGTTCACGTGACGCCACTTTTCCGCCAAATTTAGCGGGGAAACTGAAGTGGAATATAGGTCACGCGACGTCAATGTTTCCGCGAAATTTAGCGGGGAAACTGAATTGGTCTGTATGTCCCGTGACTTCGGGTCTCGTGACATAAATTTTCCAGCTAAATTTAGCGGAAAACTAAATCACTGTTTATCTCGCATGACGTCAATTTCCCGCTATTATTGGTGTGGAAACTGAATTGATGTTTCAGTCACAAGACGAAAATTTTCTCGCTAAATTTAGCGGGGAAACTGATTTGACATGTGGTTCACGTGACGACACTTTTCCGCCAAATTTAGCGGGGAAACTGAAGTGGACTATAGGTCACGTGACGTCAATTTTTCCGCTAAATTTAGCTGAAAAATTGAATTCGTGCATAGATCTCGCGACATCAATTTCCCCGCTAAATGTAGCGCGAAATGCGCAAACCGACGGACGGACGGAGGGACAGAAGTTTGAGATTGGAAGGCGGCGTTATAAAAGCATTTCATGCTTTGAAACTAGAACGCAGTCATATATATCTACGACACTGACAGAGCTAGAACGGCGTCATTTTTCGACGGACCGCTTCCGGCACACGCGCTCTTTGCCTTCCGCCGTGCTTTTGATGAGCGTGAAGGATCGAGTGCATGATCGAGGCACGAGACGCGGCGCATTATCGAAGGTATAGGAAGTTCGCGCTAACTTGGGGGCAGGACAATTCAAATTCCTTTCTGCCGTTTCGTCCTGCCTGTGACTATAAGTGTCGATTTAATTTTATTTTTGACAGTTTACATTTTTAAAATAAAGTTTGAACAACTATATTAGTGCGGATTGCGAAAAATTCGAGGGGGTGTTTTTTTTTTTTTTTTCCTCAAGCGTTAGGCACACTTACGACAAAACGTCCGACGAGTGATCCAACGCGTTGCAAAGATGGCCGAATCCGATCAGGCGTCGGCAAATGACGATGTCATTTTGCATTCGCCTGGTACCAGGATATTCTCACGAGTTCTCTGGCACGTCGGACGCTTTGTCGTACATGTGTCTGGCAGCTTAGTTGTCTGGCACAAAATTTAAAAAAAGTCTGTGATAACTTTCTATATAAGTATATGCATCAGAAGAAAATTGTGAGCATGGTGCATAATTTCTCAAGCCTATAAATCACGGAAAAAGAGAGAGAGAGAGAAAAACACCAATGTGTTTATGTCCATCTCCAACATCAATTTGTGTTTCTCCCACTGTTTTTTTTTTTTATATATATAACATGCAGCACGCTTGGACTCACGCGACCATTATTAGGCTGGTTTGCACACTTGTGCCGGTTGCGTTCGGAACAACCGAAACGACAGCGACGACAAAGACACTCGTTCGCCGTACGCAACGTGAAACGCAATGAGAGAGCTCCTTCGCGAAGCAATCATGAGTCAACGTCCTTCCGATATGTTCTGGTCATTTCTGTCGTTTTGGTTTATTATGAATGAAATCGTTGTTTTAACCAGTATTCACTTTGCTACAAAGCCGAAAATGTGCTCTGTGATAACACACCCCTTCTTTTCTGACAAATTGGGAGGAAGAAAACTGTTCCAGAGATTCGGGACAACCTGTCAAAGTCTTCCCACTCATAGCCACTTCTTTCCCTCTAGCGAAAATGCGGAAATCGTTTGCACGGGTCCCTCGATCAGTCGTTCGGAGAAATCTACCGAGCGCCAGCGTTGGCCTGCTTTCCGCAGTTGGTCGCTGAAGTTTGCCGAAAAAACTCCATTATCCCAAACCTAATCAGTGAACTGGGTGATTTCAGATAAGATCGACCAAAGGATGGCTAGTCGACATTTTCAAATCAACTGATGTTTTTATATGTTATTGTCTAGTGTCTGGTATGAACGAATCCAAACTTAGTTTTGACTAGAAAAAATACTTGGGGACAGGAAAAATCGTAAGGCATGAGGTGGTGGAGAGTTGCATTAACGCGCACTGATGGAGGGGGCCCGTTTGAGAGTGAATAACTAAAGCGATAACATTAGGAGAACTCTAATACGTTTTAGGCGCAAACTATGGGTGTAGCTTGCTTGTAATATAAAGTAATAATATTTATTTAAAATTTATTTATTTTTCTAAAAATTGACAAACATGCCTGCTCGAACGACAAATGGCAAACTTTGGAGGTCTGTATCTCATGAAATAATTGAATAATTATGATATAATTTGCAGATATTATTCTACCAATATATAGCTAATATTTAAAAAATAACTAAGGTATCTGTGTGATACAATAGTTAGGATATA